CCCCCCCCCCCCGTGACAGAGTCACTCCTCTCTGGGCCAGGCCCCAGGGACAGCCAGGACAAATGAAGGGATGAGCTATGGATCAGCTGAGCAAGGGGACTGGAGTTGGTGGCTGGCTGGCACAGCTTGGGGGGTAGGAGTGGGAAGCCCACACAGACAGGGGGTAGAGGAAGGGCAGGTCCAGACATAGGTGGGCGAGGAGAGTCAGGCACAGGTAGAGGAAAGGGGAGGCAGACACATGTACAGGAAGAGGGGAGAGCCAAACACAGGGGGGTAAGGCAGGGGGTACCAGGGGCCTGCAGGCATGGGCTCTGCCTCAAAGGCACTGCAGAGATCATGAGGCCTGGCACCTGGAATCACCCAAGAGGTGACTTGCTACCAAGGGCTACTCCTTCTTCTTTGGCAAAACACAAGTTCCCAGGGGATATCCACAAGATGCTGCCTGCTGGGCAAAACAGGACAGACCAGGCCTGATTTCTTGGGGCAAACAAGACCAGAACCAAGTCCTTAACCAGTAGATGCCATGACCACAGTTGCTTTAGAGAGCAGGATCAGGGCATCTGTGGGGACAGCCACCCGCCCTCCTGAGAAAAGACCAAGAACCAAACAGTGGTGGGGCAGGGAGGCTGGGCCAGTAGGCAGGACTTAAGGGGTCTGGGCAGGGCAGGAGCCACTCAAAGGACATGTTGGGGTAGGCAAGGGCTTTGCCAGGTTGTAGGAGGCCCACCTTGCCCTGACTGTGGGCACAAGCTCAGCACTGCAGGATGGCAGGCATCTGTCCACCAGTCCTGTGGCAGCTTCTAGAGAGAGCGGGGACTTCTGGGGACAGTCCCTTCTATTGCAGATAGGTAAGTTAATTAGTTATCATGTAGGCAGTTAGACAGGGCCACCCTCAAGGGGCCAACACAGCAAGGAGCTAACAAGAAGGACAATCGAGACACTGAAGGCCAGAATTGTAAAAGGAGAGAAACTACTATATCCTTGAGCTTCCCCTGAGGATGAATAACAGTGATTAATATTCTAAATAGGTATCAGTCACCTGGGTGGCAGGCCAAGGTCTTAACCCAGCCTTCCCAGGAGATATCCCTGACCCCCACCCTTACTAAAAATCCTTGTGTGCTTGCTAAGTGACTTACTCCACCATTTGATCAATATTACCTGGGTGACTGTACTTGTAATCTTATTGGCTGGTCATGGTTTTGCCCCACCTCATGCCCACCTTGTAATTTTCCATTAGGTTTTACAGTTCTGTCCCACTTTGTACCCACCTCACCACATGGCTTGGCTGTATAAAACATCTTTCAGAAGTGGGGTGAGCAGGCAACACACTTTCCGGTCCCCCTTCTGTCTCTTTTAGACAGAAGCTTTCTTTCCCTCAATAAATTTTTCCTACTCTTATCCTCCATTGTTCCTAGAAATGATTCTTCGATTTTAGAGAACAGGAACTCATATTTCCTATATCTAGCAGGTTTGGGAGTTACATCTCCTCTCCCAGTATCACTTCCACAGGGACTACAGAGGCTATTAAAGCCAGAAAGTTGATAATTAAAAAGAAAAGTCCCGGCCTAAGTGAGTTTGCATACCAAAACCTAGCATCAGGGCCTAAAGAAATGCAAGGGACAAAGAACAGCTCCTTAAACAAATGGGAAAGATCTTGGAGGAAGTAAAATGCAAGTGAAGCTGTTTGTGTATCAAAGGTCTACCGGCATCCAGGAGCCTCTCTGCTTTCCGTCGTGTACACAGAATACCAAAAACTATTTAAAGACCCGAGTCTGAACTTCCACTTGTCCTCCTTATGGAAGGCCCCTCTCCAACTACTTGACAGCATTTTTTTTTTTTTTTTTTTTTTTTTTT